GTTTCATTTTCCCATCCATCAAAATCAAGTGGAAAACCAAAAACATAAGAATATGTAGCAGCTTTACGAGCATAAACCCGTGTTGGACATGCAAATACCCATTGTGTAGCCAAAACAGATACAAGTGCTCGTTGATCATCGAGTTCTCTAGGTGGATATCGTTCAAATACTTTAAGTGCATTTTCATGAAAAGTAAAAGTAAGAATTTCCATATATTGTGGTATTGTAATTGGTTGTGCCCATGCTTCATAGATATAAAAAACAGCTTCTTCGGTTAATGTACCAATTATCATAGGTTTCAAAGGAAATGATGTATTTTGAACAAGATCCATGAGTTGACCGTTGACAATTTTGTTATCAATAACAGGTAACCATGGTTCAAAGAAAAGTAAAAATTTGAATGAAGTCAACATAGTATCAACTTTAGTTTGAGCGGTTGCAATATCTTGGTAGGTTTGTCGACGTAAACAATTAATATCACCTACAGCACATTTAAGTTGTTCAGCGAGAAGAACAGCAGGTGCAATATATTCTGCATATGTTCTATATCAAATAACAGTGATACTATCTTCATTTGTAACTTATATAAATTACCTGAAAGGAATTGCCAGAGGAGCACTTTGAACAATACTTGCCTGAAAATATGATTGCATTTCACTTGTAACATGATGTAATGCTACAGATTGTGCTCCAGCACTTTAACCGAAAAGGGTTATCTAGAAAATGAGATGAATTTTATATGTTTAATAGAAAAAAGAATTTTTTTTATATTCAAAACCTGATTGGGATCTCCACCAAAAGCAGCAATATTTGCTTTGATCCATGCGATAGCTAATCGTTGATCAAGAATACCATAATTACCAGTGATATCATTCGGTCCTGTACCCGTTGCAAGAAAACCAAGTGCACCTTTGAATTATTGGAAGCAATCTTGAAATAAATTGTTCTTTTTTTTTGTTATATTGTACTTACCAAGACGAAATTGAATAAGAGCGATGATAACGTTTGTACTATTTACAATATGTTCGGATTCATAGACTGGTATTGAAGCATCAAGATATTGAAAATTTCCACCAGGAATAAAAATCATCACTGGAAGAGGTGATGTCGATGATGAATTTGTCATTCGTGGCGTAAAAATATTCAAATAAAGACAATCTTCCGAAAACTATATAAATATAATAAAGGAAACAATTGACAGTATTATCAGTGGCGAAAAAAAAAGAGTATGAGTTATATCTTTACTTTTGTCGGGCAAAGAAGAGATGGAATACCACCACATGGTGGTTGAGGACAAGCAGGAGCCCGAGTTGTAGCGTTCAATACGTTTGGTGCCCATTTAGAAACAGGTACTGGTCGATTCCATCTAAATAGTTTATGTTATAATAGAAATGATCATTGTCATTAATAACGTACCTCAAGTCACCGACAGGTGGTTGTGCAAATGGAATGCCGTAGAAAATACGAGCCATATCTGTTTCATAACCAAGTACATCACCATAGTTAGTAGAAACAGTAATTGTTCGATTAGCAGCGGAGTATTTTAGTAAACAACTGAGAAAAATCGATATTAATACAATCATTATTCTCATCATTAAACTAGTAATACATGTTTGTTTGTCAGAAAAAAAACTACAATATATATTTTTCGTTTATTTCTAATTTATAACAACTGATAACAACAAAAGTATTTTATCAAGGTATTTGACCAAGGCACATACAACATTATCTTCCTAAACTTTGAAATCTGCTACTCGCATTGTTGATAAATAAAATAAACTGTAACTATTATTAGAATACTAAGTCTTCTGCCAAGAAAACAATGAATCTTTTTCATTTTAATTAGAAAATAATAAACTGTACATATTACCGAATCATACATGTCTGGTTAGTATCAGATTCAGTTTATATATTTTGAGTAAATATTATCATGTAAGTGAATCATAAATGTTGCTCTATTTTACCTGTAAATAAGACGAAAATAGTTTTATCTTATATATCTAAATATACAGCTAATGTGGAGCATTGTTTTTAAAAATAAAATAAAACATGTATGACTGATCTATATTATTAAATTTCTACCATTATTACATCTTATTTGACAATTGTATTATAATGATAATATCATTATCTATTTATCCATAGATAAGGAAAGTTAATATTTTTATTAATTATTTATTAGAATTCGAAAACACTTTCAATTTATACAAAAAATATTCGAGAAATAGTCTTTGTTAGATAGTCATGTGTTCTCTCTCTCTCTCTCTTGTCACTCTTGG